ATTACAGACTCAGAGGGCAGATCAGTGGTTCCTGGTGGTTGGAGGAGCACAGCAGACATTGCCCATAAAGGGGTAGAACATCGAAGAATTTGGGAGGATGAAGTGTCCTGGACTTTGATTGTGATAGTGAATATATGACTGTTTACCTTTGGCAAAAATTCTAGAACTGTACATCAAAATGTGTGAATTTCACAGTGTAGGTTTTAAATAGTAAACATAAAACAAAAATATTAGAAGATATAGCACGTTGTTAATAGATATAACTAGCATTATTAATATTAATATTTACTATTATTAGACATGGCTAGACTAATGGAGAAGTACCCTAAAAGAGGTACAATTGGTCTGCTTTGATAACAACTAATGTGAATTAATCAAGAAGAATGCAGAGACATAAAAGGAAGCAAAAATAAATCTGCTCCATGAAAGACTAAGAAAAATAAATTGGGAAAGAAATATTAATTTATAGGAGCTAAGAATACAAATTACTAAGATTTTTAAATCTTCACCTGAGGATATGTTTCCATTGAATTTTAGAGAGAGGAAAGGAGAGAGAAAAGCATCGATGCGAGAGAGAAACATTGATTGGCTGCCTACTGAATGTGCCACAACTGGGGATTGAACCCACAAGCAAGGCAGGTGCCCTGACCAGGAATGAAATCTGCATCCTTTTTGGTGTATGGGATGATGCGCCAAGAAACTAAGCCACCTGGCCAGGATCCAAATTACTACAATTTCCTTGATAAATTCAAGTTTGAGCCTAAAGGCATTGATAAATAGGGGCTCCCTTGGGCTTGGGGTTTGGAATAAGGAAGCAGTGGAACAAGGCTCTGTGGAGAGACAGTGCCCAGCATCACCTGTGCATCCACATCATAAATCGGGGGAGGTACCTAAGGTTATAGGGAAAGGGATGCAGTGTGTTCTGGGAATTGAGCACCTAGACCATCGGTACAGAGCCAGGCTTCTGGCTCTGAGAGACAGAGCAGCCAGAACCAAGGATACATTCAGAAAGCCAACCGGGCTCGGACAGCTGATGTGACTGCAGCCTGGTGCTCATGCCACCAATAACCCAGACACCAGTGTGGAAGCAAGCAGCACACTGTGCCAGATGTCCACTCCCGGGGTGTTTTTGTTTTTGTTTTAAATAAAGGTAACAGGATAGAGGATAGAGGATAGAAGGAAATAGCCATTAATATAGGTGGCTGGGCTTTCACTGGCTCAGTGTCAGGATCACAGATGGAGAACAGGAATAGTACCTGAAAACAAAACAGAAAACAAAACAAAAAAATCAAAGGGGGTAAGATAATAATCTCAGGAGATACCTGAGACTGCTTCATGGAGGAGATATCTGATCGGACTTTAAGAGATGTGTACTTCAAAAATGTGGGGATCGATTAAGGGAAGGGAGAGAAGAGAGGGAAAAGAAGGAGGGATGAAAAAAATAAACAGGGGAAAAAATACTGAAAATGGAGGCAATGCAGGCCACGACAAAAAGTCACCCTGTAGAATCGGCATAAATAACAGGAAATGAACTAGTGTGATGGGAGCAGAGTGCACTGGAGAGGCAGCAGGATGTGGGCGCGCTATCACCACGTGGAAAGGCTCTGATTGGCGAATCCCGAGCTGTTGCCTGAACTTCAGATGTTAGAAGGGAGTTTGTAAACCAGGGAACAGAACAAGCTGGGTGATCCAACTTCCTGGCGCTATTAGTTCACAGCTCCATTCAATTAAACAAATATAGTACTAATTGAGCAACTATCATGCCTAACAGCATATGGAGTGTTGTAATTCATAAGTATGTCGCTATGTCCTTAAGTGGGGTTGACAATCTGGAGAGAGAATCCAAAATATCTACGAGAAAAAAATAGCTTGAGTACCAAGATTTTAGGTTTTGCCTCCAGGGTACAGAATCAATAAGCATAGACTATTGCAAATACTAACCTCTAACAGTTTACTATTTGCAATAGTCTGTGCTAGATATTATAATACATATCCTCAAATTTAGCTTTGTTTCCTTTTTACTTTCTTCTTTTCTTCCTTTCTAGAACTTAATATATTTAGATCTGCTACTACATAACAGTCAGTGTGTCTTGTCGAAAGACAAATAAGAGAGAAACCACACTGCAAATGGGATTTAGAAATTCAGGTTTAGAGATGGGTTTATTGACATGGAGAATGATGAGAAAATTTGTACAGATAGGGAACAAGTTAAGGGGCTGGGACTACTCAGTCCTCAAAACTTTAAAACCACTGTTTTTACACAGAGCAAAATATGACCCCTGAAAATTACAATGTATAGAGATTAAAAAGACTTGTCATTTGGTTGAGAAAATTCCTCTGAAAGAGGAAACAGTAAAAGTTCAACTTCATGCCCGTTGCCCCAGGGGCCAGCTCATTTGAACATAGGTGATTATCCAATTTGGCTGGAATATTACCATTTCTATTTATCTCCTTACTTCTATGTTCCACGTTGGTCTTTTTTTTTCTTTTTTCCTTGTTTTTCTTTTTTAATCTATTTTCAGTTAAGATGTCTAATTAGATTCCAAATTTGAAACACATCTCTAACAGAAAGCAAATGGCAAGAGCAGTAATTAAGGGACAGCTGTCTTTTGTCTTTCTGGGGATGAAACAGGCTTTTTTTCCCCTAAGTTATGAAATCCTACTGAATTTTTCATGATTTTTTTTCTTATGTTTGAATAATAGTTAACTGAATTGAAAGATACTGGATTGATCTTAAATAGTCAATGCCCTTTCCATCACAGATGCTAAGCACCTTTCTTCTGAAGTAAGTATAGGTTAACTCTCAGACTCTGGGCCTTGAAACGTTTATTGCTGCAAATACAAAATCTTCGAATTTTATATCAAATCAAATCATTCTCAGGTGCCACATAGGCATTATTCCAAATCATTTTTCTCACATTAACTATTTTTTAACTTATGAGAATTTTACAAATCAAGAAGAATCTGCCTTCTCAGTGGAAAGGACTGATTCAGAGCAGCTGAGATGCAAACAGTATTTTTTTGTGTGGTTTTCTTGTGTAAGAGAACAAATATTACTAATATTGATATTGAAAATTACTTAGTAAGCTCTTACTCTGGTGCTCCCTGTTGGTACTTAAGGCTCTATTGTCACATGTAAAGTATAATCAGACTTTGAAGCAAATCACCATATAATTCACATCATGAAAAATCTTCGGCCTGAAAAAGCTAAACCACTGAAGCAAACAGACTTTTTTTTCTGGCTTGAATTATCTAGATTCTAGGAAATTATCTATTATAATTTAATGTGCAGAGCCATAAAATAAGTCAATTACTTTAAAGCAGGCCGGCCTCAGGAGTATAAGGAACTTCTTAAAATACATAGTTCCAAGAAAGAAACTTTTAAAATACTTCCTAATGTTAACCTGGCAATAGTTTTGCAAATTCTCAAGTAAAATTATGGTTCACATACAGACATACATATACACATAGGTATACCTATATCATATACGTATTTATTTTAGAACTCAGAACTTTTAATATGTTAATGTGCATTTAAAGCTCCTGAGAGTGTTAAAGTATTCAGATATTTTCAAACTTTCTTGACCCCAAACCATTTTATGCAGAACACATCATGGAACCAGTGTCCAGAGGAAGAACACATTTGAGAACCTCTTTGCAGAATAATAACACATCTACACCATGCTTTAGCAGCAGATGAAAGAAGGTAGGGTTGGAGATAGATTTAAAAGCATCTATATTCTGGGGACCAGTAGAGAAGACCAGATAACACTGCACTGAAATGCCAAGGGCAGAAAGTGGCCAGGCAGAGCTTGTCTCTTACCATGGCCATTAACCCCTTCCCCAACAATTTTTTTGTTAAAAACGTTTCTTTTTCAGACTAATTTTTTTATTTTGGTTCTATATAGTATTTTTGATGCTGGTTATGAAAACAGTTTGTATCTCATCTTCCTATAAACCATATTTTTTTACCATATTTTCTTAGTATACTCGTCGACGACTGAAAAAGAACATTTTGTGAAAACAAGTATACACGTTTCTGCCGGGGAAGGGGTTAAGACCCTATGGCCTAGGCCAGTTCCCATATTCATTCTCATCCTATTTTCCACCCAGCTTCCTCCTATGTCTCTCTCTACCTCTGAGACTTTGCTACAGCTACTTTCCCCCTTTTTCAATCATTTTATTTATTCAATGCTGTTTCATTTGTCTGGGACTCTCTTCCTCATACTTCAACTCTTAGATCAATGTCATCTTCCAGAAAAATACTGTGTGTGTAGCCAGTCCACAGTAGACTCCTCCCTTGCCACCCAATATGTTCTCCCACAGAACTCTGCTATTTCTCCTTCCAGCATTAATCACAGTTTTCACTCATACATTGATACCTGCTTGTTTATTTCATGTCACCTCCACTGTAAGCACCAGAGGACAGGACAGGTTGAGGCCCATCAGATTGGTCAGTTCTGTAAAATCACCAAATACCTCACAGAGGACTGTTTGCCATATAACAAGCCTTTAATCAATATGTTCTGATTTAATAATAAATACTAATAATTACATTACATTTATGTCTAGGCCTAGCCTAATGAAAACGCTTGACATTGATTAATGCAGCGGTTCTCAACCTGTGGGTCACGAACAATGAAAATACATCCTGCATATCAGATATTTACATTACAGTAGCAAAATTACAGATTCATAACAGTAGCAAAATTACAGTTATGAAATAGCAACGAAAATAATTTTATGGTTGGGGGTCACCACAACATGAGGAACTGTATTAAAGGGTCATGGCATTAGGAAGGTTGAGAACCACTGGATTAATGTATTCATAGAAATCAATCCATCTTTAGAATATGGTCAGCCACTATAACACACAATCACACATATTGTAAGACAATAAATTTGCAAAATATTTTTTTAAATAATAGGGGCTATAAGATTGAATTATTCATCCATCTGAATGAATATTATGTATCAGTTACTAAGAATCACTCTTGTACCTGCTCTCTTGTTGTATTCCTCAAACAGCTCTGCTCTTCAGTTTTGCTTTGCTGATTTCAGAGCTCTGTGAAGGACAGAAGGGCACAATGTTAGGGCCAGTGTTTTACTAGGAAGTTCTCTTACAAAAGCATCCCTAGCTAACATAACACGTTGGTTATGCCCATCGTTCCAAATTTGAGGACTTACATCATCGGCGTAAGATCCATGGAACAGGTCTACTTCTTTGCATTCCACATGAACCCGCTTCATTTGCTCACAGAACACCACCGGAAGGAACTATAGCTGACCCTTATTTATTTGCTTACATGAGCCAGCACTGTTCTAAGTGACATGGATTAACTCACTTATTCCTCACAACCACTAGGAAGTCCACGGTTACCTCAGCAGTTCCAAGTTAGGCAAACCCTGCACATTCCAAAGAAAGGCCTGTCATCCGCTCCTGGAAGATAAGCTCTGGAATAGTCTGCCTGGTAGAGGTTTTGTATGCCTGGGGCTGTGGCCTACGCTGTCCCACTTTGACCAGATATGTTTATGGTGAGCACCTGTGTTTTGCTTGGGGGAGCTGGAGTCTGAAGTCGGAATAGCTGAGGCCAACCGTCTAGTCCTGCAGGCTTATGTGACTGACCCCTAACAAAACTACAAGTGACCCCCAATAAGACTCTAGAGACCAAAGCTCAGTTCAGCTTCCCTGGATGACCACACTTCATTCATCTTGGCAGTTATTGTTGCTGGGAGAATTAAGTACATCCCCATGTAACTCCACTGGGAAAGGACACCTACGAGTGTGCAGCTGGGTTTTTACTTTATGTGTGTTTCTATTTGCTGATTTGAATCTGTTTCCTTTAGCTGTAATTTACAACTATGGCTATAAATATAACACGGAGCTCTTCCAGGAAATCACCCAGCCTGAAGGGATCATGGGGTGTCACCAGAGGAAGAAGGTTCTTTGAGGTGTCCCAGGAAAGAATTCAGAGACACACACAGGAAGAGTTCAAGCATTGATGGTAAGATTAATTAAAGTGAAAGTACACTCCTGGAGAGAGAGAGCAAGGGCAGGCTCAAAGAGCAGCTGCACTGATCCCTCGGGTTGTGCTCCTTTTATTCTCAGATGTATTATGGAATTAAATACAAATAAAATACAACACAAAAAAATAAAGAAAACTGTAACTAATTATTTGTGTGTTTTATGGAGAGGTCAAGTGTACTTCTGAAGCTTAAAATTTCTAAAAAAATTTTAGAAAGAAAATGCCTGGCAGATTAGACTATGTTAAAAAAAAAAACTTACCTAAGTAAAAAAAAAAAAAGTTTAAACCAAAGCAGATTACAATTATTTACTACAAATGCAATACACCAAAAATCTACCCTATATAAATAATTAGTACCAAAATAACAAAGGATACTTCACAACTTATTAATGAAGAAACAACTTATTAATGGACATATGGAAAAATGTCCAACTTCATTAGTACTCAAGGAAGTAACCATTAAACAATGACCAAAAAATATCTCATCTAACAGATTGGCCAAGAAGAAAAAATGTTCATGTTTGATGCCATTTTGATATTGCTCGGAGTGTCACTCTCCTACAACTCCTAACCACATATAATTTACACAAGGTGCTCATTTCAGGCACAGCTCAGTTTAACAGCCTCTAAACCATAATAACCTTTAGGAAAGTGAATCAAATATTCATAATGGCATCACAGGTACCGTACCTAGGACGTAGGAGGAATGCAATAAATGTGTTAAATATATCAATGAATTAATGAGCTTATTTCTTCATTATTAAAGTAAAAGTATGGTAGTCTTCTCAAAAAATGTTTTCATACCCTTTGATCTAAGATCACTATGCCAAATTTTGAGATTATATTCTAGGGAAGTAATGCTAAATGTATTTTTTAAAGTTCTATACATAAAGAATTAATACAATATATTACTTAAAATAGGAAAATATAGAAATAGACTAAATATAATAGAGAAATGTTTGAAAATATTGTTATAACAATTTGGTGAAATATTACATAAGCATTAAAAAGAAGAGTTTAAAGTTCAGATTTTAAAAGGCTTATTCAAAAATGTTAAATGTGGAAAGCAGGACTTAAAGTTGTGTATTTGATATATAACAGTCATAGTATGGTGGTTAAGACTCAGCATAAAATCTCACCTTCACTAATACTTAACTATATCTCCATGAACAAGTTACTTAGTCTTCTTAAGCCTCAGTTTCCTCATTTATAAAATGGATAGTGACAATATTACCTATATTAAAATGCTATTTTCATTAAAAATCAAATTAGATGATTCAAAGTGTTAATAGTACCTGTCATATAATAAGCATTCAGGAATTACAGCTATAGCTGATATTTAAACTATTAAACAGAAACAAAACCTATGCAATTCAGATAGTCTCTAGATACTAATATATCTTTTTTTTTCTTTATTGTCTAAAGTTTTACATATGTCTCCTTTTTCCCCTCTTGAACTCCCCCCACACCCCAGCCATTCCCACCCCAGGAAAGCCCCTCCCACCCCAGTGTCTGTGTCCATTGGTTATGTTCATACACATGCATACAAGTGCGTTGGTTGCTCTCTAACTGCCCCCCACCCCCCTCCGCACCTCTCCTGCCATTTGTCTCTGGATCTATTCTTGTTCATCAAATTATGTTGATCATTATATCCCACATGAGTGAGATCATGTGATACTTATCTTTCTCAACTGGCTTATTTCGCTTAGCATAATGCTCTCAGTTCCATCCATGCTGTTGAAAATAGTAAAAGTTCCTTATTTTTTATAGTGGCATATTATTCCATGTGTAGATGTACCACAGTTCTTTAATGCATTCATCTGCTGATGGGCACTTGGGCTGTTTCCAAATCTTAGCTATGGTGAATTGTGCTGCTATGAACATAGGGGTGCATATATCCTTTCTAGTTGGTGTTTCTGGTTTCTTGGGATATATTCCTAGAAGTGGGATCACAGGGTCAAATGGAAGTTCCATTTTTAACTTTTAGAGGAAAGTCCATACTGTCTTCCACAGTGGCTGCACCAGTCTGCATTCCCACCAGCAGTGCAGGAGGGTTCCTTTTTCTCCACATCCTCTCCAGCACTTGTTGTTTGTTGATTTGTTGATGATAGTCATTC